TTTATCATCCTTTCTTACCTTCTTCATTTTTGCCCTCCCAAAGAGCCTTTTTTAGACATTTTTTACCCCTTTTCTGTAAAAGAAGTAATCTCCAATATCTCTTTCATCTGGAATACTATTATGACTTCCCAAAAACACAGGCAGAAGCAACACAAATATAAATAAAAGAGTTATACTGAAATAACTTTAGCAAAGGTTTACCGTGGGACCGGTAACCATCAATGGTCACAGGGTGAAGCAGGTAGCACAGGTGAGTAAAGAAAACAGACAGGGGTAGAAAACGGAACGAGAGAATCGCAGGCAGGCATGTCTTGAGTGAAAGAGGCTGTGAACCGTCCACTCCTGCTGGCTGTTGCCAGGTGGGAGTGTGGCTCCAGTGTTACTAGATATTTTGGGGGTTTTATTCCAAAAGAAACCAAAAATCTAGATTCTTATGTGCACTTATGCCAACGTGTAGATGTGGACAGCTGACCCCGCTGGTAAACCTCCGCAATTCCCGCTGCCCTGTGTTCACGGCTTTGTGTGATTCCCCTCCGCGCCTGTGGATGGAACCCGCGACTCACTTCGACCCAGGAGAGTAGAACAAAGGTGACGCTACTTTTCAGATGTAATCGAAGCCCCAAACCAGTTGATTGTGAGTTAACTGAAAAGTGGATGCTGAGAGTGGGCCTGGCTGAATCAGGTGAAAAGCCCTGAAACGTGGACTGGTCTCTCTCTGAGATGAGATGCTCCTTGTGGGCTTAACAAAGGAAGTGGCCATGCTGGAGACGCCCATGGGGCCAGAAGCTCAGGCACCTGGGTTCTAGGTCGTACAGAAAGGAACGCTGCCAGCAGCCTGAATGAGCTTTTGCAAACGGTTTCTTCCCCACTGAAGCCTCTGGATGACTGGCCGGCTCCTTGCCTGCAGCCTGATGAGACTGCAGGCAGAGGACTCCGCTAAGCCACACCTGGACCCCGACCCCTGGAAACTGTGAGATGACAAAGCTGCATTGCTTTAAGCTTCTAAGTGTACAGTAACTTGTCAGATGGTGATAGAAAATGAACACAACGGCTTATTCAAAATTTCTGAAACAGTCTGCAGGCCAAACCAACCTGAGGGGTACAGGTGGCTTACGGGCAGCCACTGTGTGATACATGACGATGGAGGGCCCACAACATGCAACAAATCACCTTAGGCATTAGGCATTAACAGATGAAAGGTGCATACCTAGAGAAAGGCAAATATCACAAGTCAGCACACTGTGGTAACTGCCGAACCTTACACAACAGAAGGACGGACCTCCTGGTGCAGCAGATTTCAGAACCCATCTGCAGCCCGTGTAAACTCAGGAGCTGCCATTTGCCTGTCTGATCTGCATGCCTTTTGGAAGGAAAACTGTTTCATCCCCACTCTGTTTCCTCTGCATGGCCCCATCCACACTTTGTTTTAAAATCTTCTCATCAATGACTCACAGTTTTCTTAAAAAGAGATGAAGCCTAAATGATATGAGACCTGGGTTTATTCTCTTAAGCACCAGGGTATTTACATGCTGTTTCAATTTTGCGACCAATCAGCCAATGTTAAAATTCTCCCAGTTCAAAGGGACGACTGCGAGAGGACAGCAGAAGTAAGGCTTGGGGAAGTAACAGGTCTTCGGCGAGAAGGTGCCACATTCCCTACACTTACAACGCAGCCAACACTGACCAAGGCGTCGAGACCCATGGAAACTGGGACCAAGCTTGTACAGCATGAACTGGAACCAGCCAAGCAAGCTTTCTGGGCCCCAATAACCTCACCGAATCACCTCTTACCTGATCTTAAAAAATATATAATAAACCAAAAAAACCCAACTGGCCTCCATGTTTCTACTCATGTCTCCCACATGAAGCCACAGTGATATGCTTCAAACATAATTCAGATCCTAATTATCCAGTGGTTTCCTATCATGCACAAATTAAAATCCCAACTCAATCATGACTTATATGAGCTGACCTCCTACCTACTTTCCTTCTTCTCCCAAGGATCTGTTAGTTACCAGAGTTTGTAATTTAAAACATAATGTTTCTGTAACAGTGTTCTCCCAAATAAGTACCAATCCCTTTTCTGAAGTCTGAGGTCTTCTGCCAGCATTCAGCGGATGTTCTGTGAGAATCTCGCCACATGCAGATGTAGTTTTGATGTATTTGCGAGAGGAGGTGAGTTTCATGTCCTACTGCTCCGCCATCTTGATCACTGAGTAGCAATGGCGATAACCCAACAGTACGCACTGGTATGAGCCTATGAGTAACTGAAAGATGTAAATGCTTCCATACCAGCTAGTAAATCAGCTGCTGCCCTGAACCCCACCTGCTACTTTCTGTTCTTTGGGGCCTTGACCTTACCATGATCCCACAGTAGGCCCTTAGTTTTCTGCTCAAGAAACATGGCCAGTGTCCATTCCACTGGGTGAGTACCTAAGCCACTCCAGTTGTTAAATATCTAGATTGGGATGTGACCCGATGGCAGGTGTGCTATTGGAACAAGATGATCCATCAGCAGGTACCTAGTCACCCACCAAAGGATCAGAAGAAAGATCAGACAGGAATAAGAGGAAAGGCATAAAAAAGGTTCCGGAAGCCAAGAGCAGCTATCTTTCAATGTGGTGGAATAAAACTTGCCCCGTCGTTTGGCTTGGGGAACAATAAATGGGCAATCTGGGAAATACATACAAAGCACACACTTGCTCTTTGCACTACCAACACCACATGAAGGGCAGAGTAATTACGTATTCGAATATCATTGCTGGGAAAAGCTCAGTGTGACCCAGAGTTCAATACTCAAACACATTGGTTCCAGGCGAGATTGCCTTTCATGGGGGGATGCGCTTTCTCCGCGAAAGCCTTGCTTCCCAAGGAGATCAGCTCCTGCTCCTGGTTACCCGAGTGGATCCAATAAGGGCGTCCTCTTGATTACAGAGCCACGAGAGCAGCACTTTCTCTCTTGCTCATAAGAAACCACATAAAATGAAACAACAGAAACCTGTAAGGACGTCTCCAGCTAATTGCCCTGGCCTGGCAACACATGCACGACTGGAAGCAAGTTACCTAAGGAAGGAGAGTGACCAGAGTGAAGGGATGTGATGTCAGCGTCATCTTCATTTTCCTTCATCTCATCTGTCCCAAGTCTGGAGGGATCCAGACGGGCTCACATACCACCTTATCGACTGGGCCCGAGGCACCCACTCTTCTCTAGGGAGGTGAGCAAGGAGATCAAGGTAAATCAAGTTCTCAGGCCCCAAACCGATAGCCGGCTAGACTCCTATGTTTTCCAAGTCCCCAGTCCCTACCCTGAGTTTCCTTTATCAATCAAATACCTACCCCGCGTGCCAAAGGGGTAAGCTGGGTCCCTCCAGAAGTTCCGCCAACTCACAAAATTCCCTGCCCCTGTCCTAGTTCATGCCATGGTGCTGAGCTGCTGCCCTGGGTCTGTACTAATTGAACCAAACTCTTCCATTTGCCTTTTGTGACTGAGGGTCCCAGTCCAAACCTTGACTCTTACAGCGGGGCCTCCTGCGTGACCTGGATTTGTCAATTCCCTGACACGAGATGAAAGTCTCCACATAAGGTCCCGCTTCCCAGAGCAACACCTGCCACTTCCCTAGACAGTCCCCTGCTGTGCTCCACCATCCAGAGTGGACTTTCTGGTGTGACTTGCTGGGTTATAACCCAGGTGCTCTGTCCGTCCTTTGAAGCTCAGACCTTGGGCTCCCGTGGCCGGGATCAGTCTATCCAGCAATTCCTTCTCACTGGCTCATCTGCCCTTTCTCAGTTCACAGGTCCTAAGCTGGTCCTTACAGCTTGGCCTCCACCCAGCCCCCTGCCTCTAAAATCCCAGTGTATGCAGTCCCCCAGCCCCTTTCTACTGGACCCTTAGGTATTCAGTCTAGCGGGGCTGACAAAACACACCTTGAGGACTTTTACCAATTGGGAGAGCCCAAAATTGCTCGTGATTTTATGACTCACAGCCTCCTACCTGCAAACCCAAATGGAAGACATGACGTTCCCACAGAGTGTGATTGCGCAGACCAAGCAGAACTGTTTACCTCTTGGTGCTCAGATTTAAGTCTTTATTTGCTTCATCTTGTTACAATAAAATGTGACTTTTGAACGTTGCGCTTTCAGATGTATTTATCTAAGAGGATTTTTCTCCATTATGTAAAATAAAACAAAAAGGATCATTTGGGGGGAAAATGTAACATAAGTCCATCATTTAGTAAGCTTTTCCAATTATATCTATTTGATTCTGACTTTCTGCCCAGATGCGAATGGAAAGTTTTTTTTCCATTTAAAAAGCAAATATCTTTCATTGAGAATAGCGCAAACCAAAAAGCGTGCTTCTTTTCTTTTTGTCTAGCCATATTTGCCGTCTTTATGTCATAATGACCTTTCCCCAACATATTCTTCTGTTCCTCTTTAGTGCCAAGTTTCTAAAAATAAAGTGGCTAGTGAATCTCTGGATGTAGGGATAATATTTTGATTTCACTGGTACATACAATCAGGAAACATATTTCTGTTTATACTCTTAAGATCAGTTGAGAGTTGTAGATGAAGCCACGTTCTGTCAGCACATTTTTTTTTCAAACCTGGAAAATGTAACAAAATCCAAAGCAGCTGTAGGAAGTAGAATGTACACTCCATTTGTACTCAGCAGGAGGAGAGCTAACAGGAGGTAACGGGATAGTTTCCACATGAAAAAGTTACAAAGAATTTAACCTGTAATGAAAAGTCTGATAATCTCCAGGAATGAAAGATGCTTGGATGATGGGTTTGGGGTTTCTCTTGAGTTCAAAGGATCTGGTTTTCCCTATAAATGCCACGCAGGAATCAGAGACGTCCATGTGGTCATTGTTATGTCTGATAGCCAACAAAAGCGCAGACCTCATCTTTAAGCCATTAAACAGTGACTGTGTGTGCATTCTAAGACCATGGGTTAGGCTGCTCAGGCCTTTCTCTGAAGAACATAGAAAGCAGAATCTCATTACTTTATCACTGTCTGCTCCGAGGCAAGGATGCTCATGTGTGATGACCAGTTTAAAGTTGGTTTCTGTTTAGATTCGATGTGTGAAGATCCTGTAGAGGCTAGAACTCCTCCAACTCTGAGACGCACACAAGGAAACTCTGGACCCTGTGAAATGCAGATTTGAATTCAGTACGTCCGGGTGGGATGGGACCTGGGATTCTACATTTCTATCAAGCCCTCAAGAGGTCAGATGGTGCTAGTGGATGGGCCGCTGGTGAGACAGCAGGAGTGCAGAGGGTTTCTTCCTCAGCCGTCTCATCCTGTCTGTGGCTGAAGGCTCCCCATCAACTCTCTTCCCAGGATTTGGGTCCTTGGGTAAATCCCCTCCCCCTGAGGCTGGGCTGGACCTACTGACTCACATCTGACAACTGAATATGGCAAACAAAATGGCGGCACATCTCTTCTAAGGCCAGTAACAAAACGAATGCAGCCTCGGTCTAGCTGTCTCTCTCTCTCTCATCCTCTTTCTGTTGGAAACCTCTCGACTCTGGGAGAAGCTAGCAGCCAGGCGGATAGCCACCCACGTGGCAAGGAATGGACATCTCTGGCCAAGAGCCGGAGAGGACCTGAGCATCCCAACAGCCACGGAAGCAAGTCTGAAAGTAGATCATCCCCAAGCCAGGCCAGAAGAAGACTGCAGCCTCTGCCGACACCATTTTCATGAGAAACTCTGAGCCAGACGCACCAAACAAGGCCATGCCCGGATTCCTGACAGACAGAAATGTGCAAGAATAAATATTTGTTGTTTGAAGCAGCTGAATATTGGGATCGTTTGTGACACAACAGATAGATAATTAACACAGTGTCTTTCACAAAACAGAAGTGTGTAAAAGTTGTCTAAAAAACCGAACCCTGGTGAAAATCTCATTGGCTATTTACCAAGGTGCATACATTGTGGAGGCTCAAAACTCACTCTCCTACTGTCACCCTATATCGGGGGTAGCCAGGCACCTCTGGGGCTGGACCCATCCTTCCTGGTCACTTTGCGATTGGGATTGGGACTTTAGGATCTCTTTAGTTTGGGATTCAAGCCAATCTGGGTAGCACTGACTCAGAGGGCAGTTAGCTCCCTATTATGATGTGAAATTCTGGTCTTTTGAGGATGGCTTGAAGGTGGAATCCACTGAGTCTGGCTTCTTGAGATCCGGTCCTCTAGTCTAACAGCTTCAGTTTCTGCTTATATTCTAGAACTTTCTAAAGCAGGAGCAAAGCAATTCTCCTTTAACAAAGACAATGCATATTTACAAAAGAGGCAGGGCAGAAGAGCTAAAAATGAAACTGAGGTGGCTGGTCATTGCCTCCTAGGTTTGTTTTTCACTTCTGCTCTTGGACACATAGGTTCCCACCTATTTGCCTTAACCTGCCCTTGAGTTGACCTGGTTCTTAGCGAGGACGAAGTGTCTGTGAACTGAAATCCTCTTGATCCTAATTTCAACCTGTGGCATCTGCACCTACTTTTTTCCATATTCACCTTATTCTAATGCACTTACATTTTTTAAAGGAGGAAAGATCAAGGAAGAAAAAAGAAGAAGAGGTATTTGGAAACTTAAGGCAAAAGTGTGTTAGGTTTTGATGGCCTGATAGGACATAACATATGTGTATTTGAATTTCAAAATATATTCACATCCCTCTCTGCCTGCTCATCTGCCACTAGTTCCCATAACTATCACCTCCTCCAGACTCTGCTGCAGTCACTGGCCTCCGGTCCCTTCATTTCCTGGAGTACAGCGCCACTCTCTGCACCCCAGATGTGGACAGTGCCATGCTGCCCACAGGACTAAGCCCACCACGCACAGTTCTCTAGAGCCCAGGGCCAGCCTGCCTTTCCAACATTATCCTTCGTTCCTCACTTCCTTGAAACACTCGATTCTGCAAATGCATTGTTCATGCCATTCACCCTTCACGGATTCAATCTCTCCTCTCTTCCCACATAAAAAATATACCCCCATCGAATCTAAAAAAGGCTACAAATGAACTTACCTACAAAACCAAAACAGAGTTACAGACGTAGAAAATAAACTTACGGTTACTGGGGGGTAAGGGGGGAGGGATAAATTGGGAGATTGAGACTGACATATACACACTACTATATATAAAACAGATAACTAATAGGGACCTACAGTACAGCACAGGGAACGCTTCTCAATACTCTGTAATGGCCTATATGGGAAAAGAATCTAAAAAAGAGTGGATATATGTGTTTGTAAATATAACAGATTCACTTTGCTGTACACCTGAAACTAACACAACATTGTAAATCAATTATACCCCAATAAAAATTTTTAAAAAATAACCCCCTAGCTGTCTAGATCCAGATCAGACGCTGCCCCTCCCACGTCATTCTGGTTCACGGTGAACCAGATGAATCTCCCTTCTCTGAAGACGCTGTTTTTGGTTTGTATGGCACTGGCTTATAACCCTCCTCTGTCCCTTTCTTCTGCTCTTGTAGCCAACCGTCACTCCCCTCTTGCATTATTTTGTACTTCAAGTATTCATGTATTATTAGCATGTATTACTATTCATATATTCATATATTCCTACCTCAAAGAAATTGTTACTAGATGAAAGGGACCCTGTATTTATATTATTCACTTATTTCTTAAGCATTTAACTTCTCACACTTTAGATATTCATTTAATTGGTGCTAAGTAAATACTTGTGAGTCTAATAATTTGAAATGATACATGCACCCCTGTGTTCACAGCAGCACTATTTACAATAGCCAAGACATGGAAACAACCTCAATGTCCGTGGACAGATGAATGGATAAAGAAGATGTGGTATATATATATATATATACAATGGAATACTACTCAGCCATAAAAAAGGAATGAAATCATGCCATTTGCAGCAACATGGATGGACCTAGAGATTATCATACTAAGTGAAGTCAGACAGAGAAAGACAAATATCATATGATATCACTTATATACGGAATCTAAAATATGACACAAATGAACTTATCCATGAAACAGAAACAGACTCACAGACATCGAGAAAAGACGGGGGTGGCAAGGGGGGGGGGGGGGGGGGAGGGATGGAGTGGGAGGCTTGGGGTTAGCAGATGTAAGCTATTATATACAGGATGGATGAACAACAAAGTTCTACTGTAGAGCACAGGGAACCATATTCAATACCCTGAGATAAAGCATAATGGAAAAGAATATGAAAAAGAATGTATGTATGCACAACCGAAATGGTTCGCTGTACAGCACAAACTAACACTATATTGTCAATTAATTATCAATAAAATAAATTAAAAAAAATATTTGTGAGTCTAACTAGTAGGACGTACGTTTCCCAGTGTCCTGAGCCTCATGACAAATTTCTGGGAGCATGAGAAACAAAATTATGAAATTAATGGCTAAATAAGACTGAGAAGTGGCTGAATGATGTGTATTTACAGAAAGCTAACCACACTCAATGTGCCTGTTTCTAGCTGCGTGCCTTATTAGCTTATCTCAGCGGACCCTGCGTTTGCTCGTGTGTGGGCATATACCTCCATCTCATAGATGTCAACCTGCCTCACACACAGACGTACACAGCAAAGCTGATGGCGAACCAAACACCCCACACTCTGGACATGCTGCGTTAGAACTTAGACTCGCAAGTTGGTAAAACTAGAATTGATGGTCAGGGCATAGTTTCCCATCCTCTGATTTTGCTGAGGATTATAATCATTGTAAGACTTGCAAATATGGACACAGGTGTGCAAAGTAGGGCAGAACCCTTGATTCGAAGCCCAGAGCTCACTCTCTCTTTGCCACTCCATGTTCCTCCCAACTCCAAGAAACACCGTTTGCATTTTTATTAAGCTTGTATGTGGTCAGAATATACTGGGGGAAGCTGAGAACCTGACGTTAAAGGTAAGTTCTGGGAGGACCTGTTCGCTGGCATCAAAGGTAAAGTAAGTCTTTGGAAGGCAGAAGCAAAAGCCTTGAAGGTCAACCAGGACGAAAGGACACCCACCATGGAAGTGAATTACTAACTGTCACCTTTACCTTAATCTCCAGATTCCTATTCACAACACAGACACACACACAGACAGACATGCACAAACACACACACACAAGCTCGGATTTTGGAAAGGTGTGGCCTTGATTAGGAATCAAATTTATTTGGTAAAGGAGAATCTGTCATCCTAAACTTTGATCTCAGTACCAAAGAAAGAAGACGTGATCGTTTGACAGTGAAGATTCTGTTCAACTCACTGACACACACACACAACTGATTCAGGACATGCTGTATGAGACAGCCGGTCCAGAGAAGAAAAAAGCCAGGTATTCCAGGAAAAGCCGATGGACAGGCAGTCAGGAGACATGATGAAGGTCACAGAAATCTGAAAGTCTCTGGCCCCCGCGGAGAAGTAAGTCCTGTGTTCTTGCTTGCTAATTTCAGGGGGAAGGAAGTCAGGCACGATACCTGTACTGTGGTGAGTGTGCTTTAAAATCCACGTCACAGAGGAACTTCTGGGATCAGTCTGTCCCTAGTTGCATGCTTAATGTTTGATGTGAAGCTAATTTAACACTTTTGGTAAATTATGTGACTTAACCTATCTGTATTACAGACTCACCCACAATTTAAGGGGTACAAAGAGGGTTAGAACACACACACACACACACACCCCTCCAAACTGGTACATCATCTAAGTAATTCACTAGCAAAATGTGCAAAAAGTTCACCAGCGCAGTGTGGCAGGAACGTCAGGACTGTCCTTAAACGCTACCACCTCAATTATGCTCAAATGTATCTGATTTCAGGGTTTGTCCCTGTTGATTGTTGAAACCGTACTAGTTAACATTCTTCTTTTTCTCTTTTGCTAAGGGTTGGGGGAGGGGAGAAAGAAAACTACCCGATGACCTCAGAAGATAAAACTATGGAGTTTTCCTTAACCACCTGGGACCCTTGGGCCTGCCTTCCGAGGTAACAAGTTCTACCACCGTCTGCCACCAATAAGCAGGCAGGCACATGTCACAATGTCAAGGAATCTGTGGGTGTAGGTGCCTGTGAGTGCGGGTGTGTGCATGTGAATGTACACGGGTGTACACAGGAGTGTGCGCATGTGTGTGAGAATGAGTGTGTGCGTTCATTAAAAAAAT